CTACAGGAACAATCAAATAAAATAAGTAGAGCACTGGAATCAATACAAAACCTGAAAACAGAAATTCAGAAGATTAATCCTAAAATATCAGAAACAGACAATACACTGAAAGGGCAAAGTTGTAGATTTGAGCTAATAGAAGCCAGAATTAGCAAGCTTTAAGATAAATCTCTCAATACTAGTAAGATCTAAGAAAAAAAAGAAAAAAACAATGAAAAAATCTGAAGAAAGCTTAAGACTCATGTGGAAAAACATGAAGATGAATAACCTATGGATGATTAGAATTCCAGAACAGGAAGAGACAAAGAGCACCACAGAAAAGATCATCAGAAAACTGATGGAAGAAAAGTTTCCTAACATCATGAAAATTGAGATGATAAGTATTCATAAGCGGAACAAACCACAAACAGGATATAACCCAAAAGAAAATCATCAAGTCATATCATAATCAAATTCTCAAAATTAAGGACAAGGAAATAATCCTGAAAATCACTAAGGTTAAGTCCTGACTTTTCTGTAGAGACCATGCAGGCAAGAAAGCAATGAGGAGACATATACAAAACCCTGAAAGAAAAACACTGCCAACAAAAAATCCTATGCCCAGCAAAACTGTTCCTCAAATATGATGGCAAAATTAAAACATTTCTAGATAAGCAGAAATTAAAAGAGTTTGGAAAAGCCAAGCCAACTTCACAAAAAATTCTAAAAGGAGTCCTTTGGAGTGAGAACCAAAAATGCAGACAACAACCATAGACTGACATACATGTCTACAGCACTGAGAATTCAATCCAGATATCGAAGTATCCAAAGTAAAACAAAACTACAAGATTAAAGATAGGGAATCAGAGATATCAATCTATAATGAAGACAATAGAGCAAAAGGAGGAAAAAGTATAGTTACAGAATACCAAATTGCAAGAAGTCAAGTAGGTTTCAAAATAAAGCAGATTGTTTTAAGGAAATTAATGAATTACATGGCAACCTCAAATAAACATAATACACGTTCACATCAAATCAAGAAAAGGAAAGTCCCTGTTGATTTTGTAAGTGTGAGGAAATTGACAAGAAAAAGTACACAAAAAAATGAACTCAGCACAGGAAAAAATACAGAATGAAGAAACCAGCAGCACCACACACAAAACAAAAACAACAACAAAAACCCACAGCAAAGTGACAGCAATC